ACCTGGAAAATGGACACAAAGATGTTTTAAAAAAGCCAAACAAAAGCATCATCCTATCAGTGGGGTGGGAGCTCACTCACTGCCCTGAGAACCGAACTGTCCTCCTCATGCCTGATGACACATCCCCTCATCCTGCAGCGGGTGTGGACCAGGCCCCAGGCTCAGAGGGAACACCTGCGCACTTTGGGCAGAAGCTGTCACTCCTACCAGTGCCAGAGATCTGGACGTAGCCTCCTGGGGGGCAGGGGAGCCCGAGAAGAATGGGGGGCATGGAGGTGTCAAGACCCCGGTAGCCCGGGTCCCCACTGGGACGGGGCCCAGTCAGGAAAAGCCCTGCATTCTCACTGTGAGAGACTGAGGGGGTGGGGTGCAGACAGAGCTTCCTGCTGGCAACAAAGACCCACCTGTTTTCCTTTGGCCCGGATCTCCCCTCTCCTTTTGTATTAATTCACACACTAAAAATCATTTCAAATCAATATATTCTGGGTAAACACATTCATTTTCTTTTAAATTTGCAAAACCCTCCAGTGAAAACACTTGAATATGTAACACAAAGGCCTGTTTTCTTTGGGAAACATGGATCATTTCCAAGGTGAAAGGCAGCATAAATATGTCCTAAGTAAGAGGCGCATTCACAAAAGGACCAAGCTGGAGTCATCAGCAGATTTGGGAGATGATTATTGTGTTTTGGGAATGAATCGTTACTTGTCTGACCTGTGGGGAGTTGGAGGGTGTTTTAATTTTAATGGATTCATCATTTATGTCTGAAGTTCTTGCTCTTTCCTAGGAGGGCAATGCGGGAGGTTTGCATGAAGTTATAAATCATGTCAGCCTTTGGGCCTCATCTCTGGGAGGCCTGGTCTGTGAGGAAGTTATACTAATAATTTGAGAGAAGTGGTTGCCTGGAAGGGCTCCCTTTAGCCAACCCGGTCAAGGCAGAGCTGGGGATGGAGAAGCCCCAGAATATGGGCATCCTGCCTGTATATGGGGTCTGGCCCATGCCACCAGGGAGTGGGGCAGCTCCAGGAGGAAGTCAGTATTTTATTCCTGGCTTGGCCAGTTTCTCTGGGTCTTCATTTTCCCATCCGATAGGGTTGCATGCTCTCCGAGGGGCCACGAGCTCAGAGTATCTGTGTCCACCAACTACAGTAACATGGGGCTTGAGACAACCAAAAATCTCTCCCGTATCTGTCCCACCCTGAACTGTGAACTCTATCTGCGTCAGGCATTTCCAAGCATCGTAGACCTATCAGATCTCATCAGGCCTGTAAGGCAGGAGGTACTACTGTTATTCCCATTTTACAAGTGAGTTTACTTGCCTTCCTTGTATGTCAAGGAAACACCAGGACAAGCCCTGGAACCCAGGTGTCTCTGGCTCAGGCTTCATGTCTTAGATTCTGTGGGACAGGTGTTGCTAGCTGGGGTCTGCCCTGGGCTTAGAGTGGAGAAGTCCACCCAGCTCCTGCTCCCCGGAGTGGGCTCTCGGTGTCTTGGGCCCACAGGCCGCACGTAAGCTCCCCAGCACATCTGCCGTTCGCTTGGAGCCTTCCGAGAAGCAGGTAACTGGGCAGGGCCCTCCTTCTGCCCCTTCTCATCCCTTGCCCCCTTCCCTCTGGTTGGGGAGAAGCTATGGGGAGGAACAGACACGGAACATCGCTCCCTGACTGGGCGCCTCAGCTCAGTAAGCCACAGGCCATCTGCCAGGCCAGGTGGGGACCAAACCAGACCTCCAACAGCACTGCTGGGCAACTGCACCGGATCCTACCCAGACAGCTCAGGCACATCTTTCATGGTTTTCAATCGTGCTTGGCATGAATGGCAAAAGGGAACAAATCCCTCAGATGAATCTGCTGCTGCTTTCTCTCACCCTTCCTCAGGGGATTCCTCGGCTAGGCAGCGCTCCTTTTATCCTGAGCACCTGCAGGGCCTTCTCGGCCATCCCAGCCGCTCCGCCCGAGAGCCTCTGAGACCAAGTTGCAGCCTGCAAAGCTCCCCGCGCCTACCGCCACCGTAGGCGCCACGGTAGGCCGCCACCCAGGCCCTCCTGGGACCTGTCCTCTATAGTGTAGAGCCCACAGCAGCCCAACACAGCTGCTGACTGACCACACTCGCATCCGACAGCCGGATTCTCCAATAGCCCTAACACGATGCCTTGGTAAGGATGGGTAGGGCAGGCCAGGTGTTAGGAGTCTGGGCTTTGGAGTCAAGATCTGCTTTGCAGTTACTAACTGCAGGGCTGGGTCGTGCGGTCCCGAGATCACTGAATCTCTCCGATCCCTGGTGACCTCATCTGTCAAACAGGGAGGGTACACAGTATGTACTCCATAGATGCTAACCTAATTGTCTCTTTCATATCATTCCATTTTCAGCATCTTCCCATACAGATACGACATTTTCCCCATTCTGTCCAACAAAGTAAGCTTAACTTCTGGACTACTCAGAAAGCCTTGCATCTATTCCCAGGTCAACAGGCAGTGGACTTAGGTCATTGGGAGGCAACTCTGGGCCTACATTAGCATGCTGCGCTCCCATGAAGGAGCTGGTTAGTGGACCTACACATCACCCCCAAGTGCCTGGGAGTCAGCCCAGCCCCGCTCAGGAGCCTCATGGGCTACTGGAGCTAGGGCCACCCAAGTGGCCTCGCCTGGCTGTCATGGGAGCCAAGCACCAGCGGCCTATTTAGTGACATAGGAAACTGATCACGAAGTACAGAGGTCCCAGCATGCTCCCTCTGACTGCTGATAGTGCCTCTGCTCGAAGAGAGGCCTTAAATCTGTCAGCAGTTAGGAAATGGATCTCAAGTGCTCTCTTTTGGTTCTCAGCAGGAGGTTTTGCTGTGTGTAGACTCCCCTGGGCCAAAATCACCCTCTCCAGTGGAGACTAGGTAATGGCGGGGAGCCGCGGGTGGGGGTGGGAGGTGGCTGGGGAGGGTGTCAATGGGGCTCTCCAATGCCAGTTTTGCAAAGCCCACTTCCCACCTGGCAGGAGGGGCCTGTTCTCTCCTTGCAGCCCAGCGACCCCTCATGGTGCTCCTGGGTCTGGGCCTTACTCTTGGATTCAGCTCTGGGAGTGACACATTAGCTTATCCCCATCATGCCCTCAGTCGCAGAATTCTGGGGGAACACGGGGCAGAGGGCACCCCTCACACCATGAACTTGCCACTTAGTGTATGAAGGCCTCTGAGACCCCAGAGTTTCTTCTAGAGGCCTGGCGCGAGTACAGACTCTCACCTGAGAGGTACTATGGTTCCTCGGCAGGTGGTTCCCTTCCCCCCCTCAGGGGAGTTGTTTGGAGGAAATAAAGGGGACAAGGCTCAAGCCATCTCCCTGTGCCCCCCATTCTTGGGAAGTGGGGGCAGGACGCAAAGGGCAGAATGAAGAGTCTGTGAATAAGGGCTCATTTCCCTTCACCAGGCTCATCTAAGGACCCGACAGACCCGGGGCAAACCGTGGGCAGCTGTTTCCCAACCAAACAGTCCCCCTCATTGTCCCATGCTGGGCACCACTTGCCAGTTTTAGATGGAAAAAACCCACCTCCCGCTACAGAGCTCATGCTCTGCCCCCTGCTGAGGGAGAGCCCCCCCCCCCCTCCAGACACCACGTGCTGGCTGCACTTACGACTGACCTTGGAATCCAGTCTGGGTTAACTCCCCCAGGGGCTGTTGTAACTAGGAACGCCTGGATTATTTCTGGAGAAATCTCGTGACTTCATCACAGGCCTGATTCAAGCCGGCAAACACAGCTACAAAACCCCAAACAATTAAGTATGTCCCCGGTCAAGGTAAATCCTAAGATATGGGTTAGGCAGGTATGGCTATAAAAATCCCGCAAACATCCTGTAGGGTACATGTAGACTCCAGCTGAGCGCACCACCCCGTTGTCCTTAAATGGCTTGTTACCCTGGTTCCAGAGTTAAGTGAAATTGAGCCTCATTATGTAATCATTCTTAACACCTTGCTCACTTTATCTCGGAGCAGAAGCCCTGAGCACCAGCTGGTGCGAAAGATCTAGGGCTGACTAGAAGTTTCCACACTGACACATGAACACCCTGCTCAGTGCTAGGAGTGATGCCCAGCTAGGCCTGGCTGGACACATCTAACTTCTGTGGGGTGCTGATCTGCCAAGACACGGTGACGCCTTGTTTGTTCTGATGGCTGGAGTGGCCAGGCTGGGCCAGCCAGCAGCGTGACACAGGTCAAAGCACAGTCCTGGGTCTGGGAAGACACCCGCCTGCAGTGTGACTCCAGGCAAGTGACCTTACCCAGAGATTTATCCATAACGTGGAACATACTGACCGGGAAAGTCTAGGTGATGTGTTAGCACAGGGATTGGCCAGTGATTCACCCTCTCTGTGCTCAGAAAACCCTGGCTGTTTTAGTTGTTGGCGTTGCCCTCAGGAGGGGTTTCATATTCCCAGTGTCCAGGAGTCCCGGCAACACGGGGGTCAGTGAGAAGCAACGAAAACCTCCCGAGCTTGCTCAGGATCTGTCTTAGCCGGGCCCAAGCTCAGTGAGCCTCTCTGGTGGGGAGATGGGAACCAGCCCCCGTTGGAGGAAGGAGCGCCTCCCCGTGGACAAGTGATATGTGTGCACGTCGCTGGAAGGACAGTGGTGTGTTGTAGTAGCGTCTGCTACTCTGGGATCCCAGAGAATCGCCACCGGCCATCGCCATGGGAGGGCAGGGCACATTCTCCCAGGCCTGCGGGAGCCTCAGCGGCTGAGCGTGACTAGCCCGAGTGACTCACCCCCTGGCACCACCACCACCTCATCAGAGGAGGCTTCCCGGTGAAGCCAGACAAACTAGTCAGCCGACTTTGCCCTCTCTCCACTGCTCTCCTTTACTTGCGAGAGAGTAAACTTAGATAAGTAAGTAAACTTACTTACGAGGCTATCTTGGGCTCAGACACATCTTTAAGAGAGACTACAGGAGCGGGGAGGGTTGCCGTGAGCAGCATTTTGGGAGCGCTTCGAGGGGACGACATGCATGGAGCCATTTACTAACCATTCACCTGCAGGACGTGGGTCTGGAAGAGCTCCTCATGGCCGGAGGCGTGGCACGTGTAGTTGCCCATGTGGACGGTGGTCACCTTGGTGATGTAGAGGGAGTTGTCCTCTCCGAAGTCCTGCACAGGGCGAGGAAGACAACTAGATTGGCCTCTCCACTGAGCAGGCTGGGAAGGAGAGCTCGGTCTCCCGCCTTTCCCGGAAAACAGAAACACTACAGCTGAGCCCCTTTGCTTGGCCAGAGGTGCCTGCAGGGCCAGGCCGGCCTGGGCTGCAGGAACTGCGTCTCTCTTCCATGTTGTTGGAACCTGAACCTTGTACATCCACTTAAGGCCTGAATCGCTCTCCCTGGGAGGACGGACTGGAACACCTTCCCGCTCATTCCTCTTGCTTTCTAAGAACTGGGCTCACCTGCCCCTCTTACTAATCCTCATCCTGCTTGGCTGGTTTCCTGGGGCTCTTGTCCACCTGCTGAGCAGCTCTGCGGGGTGGCCTTGCTTAGGGCTGGCAAGTTTTTCTTATAAAGCTCAACACCCAAAAAATAAATAATCCAATTAAAAGTGGGCAGAAGACATGAACAGACATTTCTCCAAAGAAGATACACAGATGGCTAACAGACACATGAAAAGAAGCTCATCATCACTTATCAGGGAAATGCAAATCAAAGCCACAATGAGCTATCACCTCACACCTCTCAGAATGGCTAAATTCAACAACTCAAGAAACAACAGGTGTTGGTGAGGGTGTGGAGAAAAAAGGACCCCTCTTTCACTGTTGGTGGGAATGCTAACTGATACAGCCACTGTTGAAACAGTAGGGAGCTTCCTCAAAAAATTAAAATGAGAGCTACCCTATGATCCAGCAATCACACTACCTGGGTTTTTACCCAAAGAATACAAAAATACTAACCGAAAGGGATACATGCACCCCTATGTTTATAGCAGCATTATCTATAATAGCCAAATTATGGAAACAGCCCGTGTCCATCAATAGATGCATGGATAAAGAAGATGTGGGGTGTGTGTGTGTATATATATATATATATATAAAATATTGGATATTATATATGTATATTCCAATATATATATATATCAGAATATCCAGCCATCAGAAAGAATGAAATTTGCCATTTGCTTGCAACACTATGGACAGAGCTAGAGAGTATAATGATAAGTGAAATAAGTCCGAGCAAGACCAATATCATATTAGTATCATTCATGTGTGGAATTTAAGAAACAAAACAAATTAACAAAGGGGGAAAAAAAAAAGAGAAAGGCAAACATGCACAAGTCGGGGGAGAGGCAGAGGCAGAAGGAGAAGCAGACTACCCGCTAAGCAGGGGGCTCGATCCCAGGACCCTGGCATCATGACCTGAGCCGAAGGCAGACGCTTAACCCGACTGAGCCACCCAGGTGCCCCAGTTTTCCTGTTATTATTAACAGGACATGCAAAACTCCTCTTGACCCCCTGGAGCCAATACCAAACCATCACTCTTGCCATTCCCTGTGCCCCTTTCCATTCTGGTGGCAGGAGGGAGGGAAGGCCACCAGTCACTGTGTCACAAGGGTTATCCGAGGCAGCCACAGAGCCGCTGACCCTCTGCCTCGCTCACACTCCAGAGGGCCTCACTGCCACCATCTTGAGTCCCTTAAGGATGATTTTTGGCTAATTAGCTCGGTGAGGGAGTGCGGGCTCAGAGAAGCTTGGGGGAGGGCACGGGGGGGAAGGTGCTTTGTGGATGCATGCGCCCGCTTTCAGGATCGGGAAAAAAATACACACCAGCACTCCCAATGGAGTAAAATATTGCAGAGGGCGGCTAGGGCCCAGTGAGTTTTCTCTGAAGCATTGCTCTGCTTAGAAAAGCCCCATTCCTATCACTCTGTGGAAGCTTCGATAATAAAAATAAAACACCAGATAGCTGATTGGTCCTGTGTCATAACAGAGTCCTAAAGGGTTCATACCTGAGTTGCTTACGAAAAGTTAATGGTTAGTCAATTCTGGGCTGACATATTTCTGGTCTAAGCTGTTTGTGTGTCAAAACCTAAGTCTGCAGGAAAATATATTTTGCTTGGAGGCTCCGTGGCGAGGTGGCAGCTTGGAAACAGGGCAGGGCAGCTGGGTGCAGCTCCCACCGCGGGGACCCCTCAGTGCCTCACCTGCTTGGTTCCAGGGTGGACTCCATCCCAAAGGGCGATCCCAGAGCTGCTTATAGGGGGTCTGGCGCTGGGGGCCCCCTGGCACTTTCCCTCGTCTGCCTGATGCCAGGGGTTTCATGCCCACAGCCCATCCTCCTGGATGGACGGCCTCGACTGGGCTCGGGTTCTGGCACCCCCTCCTGTTGCTGCCCCCTTGGTGATGTGGTCATGGGGACCACACATCTCTCAGGCCGTGTGTAAAAAAAAACTCAAGCCAGAAAACGGAACAAAGCCCAGTCCTCACAGGGTGAGGAAGTAGAGCTCTCCTTCACGACATATTTAGAGTCTGACCTTCTCTTACTCCCTCCCCTGTGACCAGTGGGCCAAGGCACCATCTTCTCATCTGCAGGACAGCGGGGACCTCCACCTCTGCCCCTCTGCTCTTCCTCTACACCGCAGCCGGACCCTACCCCCTCACCCCGAGTCACAGCCCGAGAGGGTCTGCAGGGATGACCTGCCACCCCCACCTCCTCCACTCTCCCTTGCTCATTCCACTCCAGCGCTGCGGCCCCTGGCTGTTGCCTACATGCCAGGCATCCTGCCCCCTCCTCCAGGCTGTCAGTCTGGCTTGCATCCCCTCTTTCAAGTCTGCTCAAATGTTATCTGCCCACCCTATCTGTAAGCCCCACCCCACCTGTCACTTACAACCACTTACCATACCATTTGTATCTGTCTCCCTCCGACTAGGACATGAGCTCCCCTGCGTCCCCAGGGCCTGGCACAGGGCCTAGCACCTAGTGGGCCCTCAGTAGATACTCAGTGAATGGATCGCACGAGATGCCGAGCTAGGCTTTCCGCAGGGCCTGTGTTCTGGTTCTTCGGGTTTGACAACAGAGGCGCCCACCTCCTGCCTTCCCACCCACCTGGATGTTGCCAGCGATGGGGCATCAAAACGAGGTGACTGGCAGGGAAGCACAGAACTGCTCGCAAGCATGGTGCCCCCGCTTCCCCACCCCGTCTCCTTCTCCATGCTGCATTCCTCAGGCCAGGGCATGTGGGCATTGGCCAAAGAGAAGGCTCCACGCAGGGCAGCAGGCAGAGATGGAAAAGACCACGCATGTCATCTCAGACTCATGATGACTTTTGGTGAGCCACTACCAAAGTCATTTAACCTCCGTCTGTTTTTCCTCATTGCTGCCGGCAGCCGAGGCGTAACTTCTGGGTGATCACTCAGGGGCTGAGGGGTGTGCGTCAGCTCTTCAAGGGCACAAGGGGATGCTGGATACATGGCGGTTCTCCTCTGGGCACCCAACCCATTACCAGCCTGTGACTTAGGCTATGGGGAGACGCTGACTGTGGAATAAATAAAATAATGTCTCTGGGCTAAAACAATAGGCATCATATAATTATAGAACAAAGTGCATATTGTTTTCTGGAACATGAATACTGGCAACTGAAATCAAATTTCCCTCATTGGAATTGGGGAAATTACTTTAAAAATTGGTTTATAAGAAGCTACATAAAACTAAACCTGTAATCCTTCCTCTCCTGAATGTTCTTTGAGATGTGTCTGAATACTGCTATCAATGCTTGATTGCATCTCTGTAATTGTCTTTTTATGGATGGCTTTTTTTTTGGTTCTGATGCATAGAAATGTATTAGCAAAATCCAAGTTCCTTCCAGAAATAAAACAGATGCCAGATTAGACCATTCTTTGTACTGATGCACATCTGTCTTTGGGAAAGAGACAATTTTACTAAAACGTATAGTTTTTGTCTTTTAAAAAGCTTTTTTGTAAGTATCTGCCCTTGATAAAGAAAGTAATTAAATGAGACTTAAGTATTAAACAATACTTAAGCAGAGGCGAGAGGGGGCATGTTGTCATAGTGATACATGTGACTGGGGTCTAAGTAATATGAAAATGAGCCATCAATGCAGAATATTTAGTGACTAAATGTTAAACACAAGGACTCCAGGGTGATTTCAGAGTTTCGGTTAATGATGCTGTCAAAGCTACAAGTTAAGACTCAGTTTAGACACATTTATTCTGAGCTTTTCCGACTCTGCCCTTCTCAGCAGCCGTGTTCTCAGGAGCCCTCTGCCCTGGCTTTCTTTGGGAGGATGGACTCAGGGAGAGGGTTTTCTCTCCATGCCAGTTTAATTCTGGTCCCTAGAATTCACTATCCCTAGCATCCCTGCTGCCCATTTTAACAGGATGGACCCAAACACTGAACAATATGCAGCCCCTTGGTGATGGCTGGCCTCAGAGAAGTCTGCACTCACATGTCCCATATCCAGACCAAGCAAGGACCAGATGCACCCCGGGTGGGCACACACAAACATCCCCGGGAAGACACACAGTACCCATGAGCATGCATGTGCAGACTCACGCTGCCCAAAGCCCCCACCTCATGGTTCTATAGCTGACTACCCTGACCCACACTGGGGTTCCCGTGCTGGTCACTTCCTTTAAGACCCTTAAAGACATACTTGCCACTCTGCATGCACCTGCTCAGAGTCCTCTTGAGAAGTCCCTGCAGCCTGAAGTCATCCCTAAGAAGCTGCTGAGCATCTAGGGTGGGGTGGGGCTGCTACAGATGGTCACATGCATTGTGAGCCACCCAAAGTTGGTCACTTCTCTTGCTCAGTCCCAGGCCTGGGCCAGGGAGCCACAGGCATGAGAGAAGTCACTGTGGGGAGGGCTCCCGGCTTCCCCAGGTCTGCAGGGACTACCACTGGCTGACTTGGGTTTATAATGATCAGTCTCCCCCATGACTGTGCATGCCAAAGCGGAGGCACCTCATCCCTCTGCAGACCACCATATTGTCCCCGATGCGTGGCTCAGTCGGTGTTTGCTGGACAAATGGAGGTGTGTTAGCTGAGTGCGCTGGCTCTCGGGGAGCCCTGAAGCGAAGGGTAGTGAAGAAGTAATGTCATCCAGAGAGAGGTCTAGGCTTTGTTTTCCTGGGGGCTTTGGCCACTAG